ATTTGTATTTGTATTTGTATTTATTTATCTTGTATGCCGCCCACTCCCGAGGGACTCCGGGCGGCTCACAATAGACAAGGGGAGGGGAAAACTGGACAAAGACAACACTTTAAAAACAAAAACCGCAACATTCACAATTTCCGTGGGGCTGGATGTTTCCCAAGCCCCCCGGTCTGCTGGAGCAGCCAGGACTTGGTGGCTTTGCGGAAGGCCGGGAGGGTAAGGACGACGCCCAGCTAAGCAACCCAGCGGAGAAGCGATTTTTCTGAGACTGGCGGCCGCCGCCCCTTTCCCTCGCCTCTTCTCCTTTAAGCCCCAAAGCAAACTCCCCGCCCGCCCTCCCCGTCTGTGGGTCCGGCCTCCCTCCGTCCCTCCCTCGCCCCACCCAGCAGCGCAGCCTCCCGTGCGCGAATCGCAACTTTTCCTCCCGGCGCCGCTCCGCGTCCGGGTTTCGCTTCCTTCGGCGGAATCTCCCTCCTTTCCCCGCCGGTGGTCGGGCGCTCTTCGCCGGCTACGATCCTTCGGGATCTGCTTCCCACCCCGTTCGCGTCCTCCGTGCAGTTCGCTTCTGGCCCAAAAGGCTGAGCCGTCTCCCGGGAGCACCCCGCGCTTCTCCTCCCGCTTTCCCCGGCGGGCACGGTCGGTCCGTGTCCCGCTTGCTCGGCCCGGCGGGCAAAGGCGGGCGCGCCCCTGCCTGCCGCCCCTCGGTGCTTGCCAGCCGCCCGCCCGCAGCTCCGATGAAACCCGGCGGGGGAGCCGAGGCGCCGGAGGGCGAGGGCGCGGAAGGGGAGCGGGAGCCGCTGAACCCGGAGTCGTCGGAGCCGCTTGGCGTCTCCGCCACTTACCGAGAGTTCGTCCGGCGAAGTTACCTGGAGCTGATGAGCGCCAACCAGCACTCGCTGCACGCCCTGAATTGGCGGCGGCTTTATCTTAGCCGGGCCAAGTTGAAAGCCTCCAGCCGCACTTCGGCTCTCCTCTCCGGCTTTGCCATGGTGAGTGGGGAGACGGGAGGGAAGCGCCTCGCAGTCGGTCGGGGGACTGGAAGGCTTGGGCTCGCTCTACCCGGTGATCCGCGCTGCCCTCGCCCGTGGGTCTTGCGGGCGCATCGCAGACAAATCCAGGCAGTCCTCGGTGTTACGATCAAAACCGAGCCCGCCATTTCTGTTGCCAAGTGAGACGTTTGCTAAGTGACGTTTTGTCCCATTTGAGTTCCTTTCTTGCTGCTAAGTTGTTAAGAGAATCTCTATGCTTGTTGAATTATAACACGGTTGTTAAGTGAATCTGGAATCCCCCATTGGCTTTGCTTGTCACAAAGTTGCTGGTGACATTAACCATCCTGAGTCTTTATTGAGTAGCCCTTGGGGCATATTAAAGTGCAGAGTTTCAAAAACAAATTATTACTAGAATGTGATAAAAGCAATATAAAATGGAATTTTATAAAATACGAATTAAAATTGAAATGGAATAAAATACGATTTAAAATGGAAATGGAATAAAATACAGTCCAGAATGAAATTGGAATAGGATACAATACTTTAAGATATGGATAAAATATGATAAAATTATATTTGGGTGTCACCCCTGCAATCTACCCCAATCACTTGTCACATATACAGATCTCAACCGAACCATTTTGTTTAAGTCCGTGCTGTGTTAAATGTTATTTTCCTGTCCTGGCTGCACATAAGGTAAGTTGTTTTGATATGGGGATCCCAATGGGCCATTCGTTTGGTATATAGACCAAGGTATCTGTCTCTCACCCCCACCCCCCCTTATATAAGCAGCAATCAAATAGGTCTTTTACCTCTGCTGCTCTGCAAATGCAGGGGCACAAGGTTGAAAATAGTTATCACATGGCACTTCTGTCATAAATACAGGTAGTCCTCAAGATACGACCACAGTTGTGCCCAAAATTTATGTTGCTAAGTGAGGCATTTGCTGAGTTTTTGCCCCACTTCGCCCCACTTTCTTTCTTGCCTCAGTTGTTAAGCCAATCACTCACCACACTTTTAAAATTAATAACACAGTTGTTAAGTGAATCTGGACTCCCTGCTGACTTTGCTTGTCACAAGGTTGCAAAATTGACCCAGTGGCCCTGGGATACTGCAACCGTCGTAAATATGAGTCAGTTGCCCAGTATTTGAATTTTGATCATGTAACCCTGGAGATGCTGTTGTATGTGTGAAAAATGGTCATAAGCCCTTTCTCTCAGTGATGCCGTGACTTCAAACAGTCACTAAATGAACTGTTGTAATCAAGGACCACCTGTGGGAGCTGCTAATAGAAAATGCGGGCACAAGGCTCCTGTTTCACGCATTCCCTTTTTTTCTGTTGTGGCCCGCCAGTGGCCAGCAGAACTGGCAGCAGATTCAGACAGTGAGGAGGTTGGGGAGGAGCATAGGCCAGTCCTGGAGTCTGGGGAAGGCTCTGATGAGGGCTCTGTGTTGGAGGCAGAGATGGAGGCCAAAGCCATCAGACAGTTATCAGCTGCTTTCAGACATCAGTAATGCAGAGGAACAGCTGGAGCCTGTTCCCAGTGTGCGCATGCGCAGAGTTGCCAGACAAAGGGAACAGCTAAAGAACAGGGGTCGACTTGGGAGAAAGGCCACAGGTGGACGGTGAATGGCCCCTCCCAGAAGAAATAAAAGAGGAGCGAAAGGGGAGTGGAGTTTGCAGGAGACAATTAGTTCGTTTAATTGGTTCCTGACTCTCCAAGACTCCTTGCCAAGGTTTGCAGATATCGGCCTGTCAGCTCTCCAAGCCAGATAAGGTCTGTGACTGTAAATCCTCCCTCGAAAGAATTGGATGTGAACGAGCAGAATCCAGAGTAAATTAATAAAAGGGGTTCTTGTCGGGACCAGGAATTTGCTTCATGCTCCTGGGGAACCTTGGTTCCTTCCTGCAAAAGGAAGAGGGAAAACTCCCTCCAGGTATCTCTGGGCCTTCTTTCCCACCCCAGATAACAGTCCTTCCCGTTGCTTTTCCTTCAGTGGTCCCTGGCATGGCAGGATATCTTTCCTTCACTTCCAGAAAAAAAGGGCCAGAGGTTAAATGCCTCAGGTTACCGCTATCTGATTTTTTTTTGCACTTTTTAAAATCTGACCCCAGCAGATCGATATCAAGACTGGCTAATCTTGAACATCAAAGCAGGCTCCGGATCTGTCTGGATCTATGCTCTCTTTTCCCAAAGGGGTGCAAAATTGGATTTATGTTTCATGGCTGGGCTGAATTTTGCAAAACTGTTCAGAACTGTTTTTCTTCCTGTTTTTCTTCCCCAATGGTTCCCCTCGCAAACAGCCTTGTGGCATCTCCAAGCCATGAAACGTTGTGTTAACCTCAGCCATTTTAAGACTTGCAAAATTCTGGGAATTGAAGTCCGCACGCCTTAAAGTGTCTTAAGGTTGGCGGAGATAAAGGTAAAGGTTCCCTCACACATATGTGCTAGTCGTTCCCAACTCTAGGGGCCGGTGCTCATCTCCGTTTCAAAGCCGAAGAGCTAGCGCTGTCCCAAGACGCCTCTCATGTAGTCGGCATGACTTAAATGTCGAAGGCGCACGGAACGCTGTTACCTTCCCACCAAAGATGATCCCTATTTTTCTACTTGCATTGTTTACTTTCGAACTGCCAAGTTGGCAGAAACTGGGGCAGGTAACGGGAGCTCACTCCGTTAGGGATTCGAACCGCCAAACTGCCGACCTTTCTGATTGACAAGCTCAGTGTCTTAGCCACCGAGCCAAAGCTTTCCTTAAGGCTGACTTAACATCGCCTTAAAATACAGCTCTGGGGTAGAAGCATTTGCCATGTGCAGTTTCCAAGCTCCTTTCTGACTTTTCCCAAGCGAGGCATGCTTTTCAAAAAGTTCTGGAGTGCGGATCCCATAGTCTATAATACTGCTGGCTAAAATGATGGGCGTTGTAGTCCAAAGCAACCAAGAGCATTCTGCTTGGGAAAAAAAAAACTACTTTTGTTTACAAGTCTCTCTATAAAGTTGGGGGGGTGGGGTGTAAACATGTCAGCCCAACCTTTCTGGATGCCGTATTTATTATTTCAATTTATGTGGCCACTCCTCTCAAATTCATGACTCCAGGCAGCTTGCCATAATTAAAAACTATGCGAAATTTAAGGAACGATATACAAAAGCCATCCAAGAGAACAGTTAGGTTTAATGGTTAAGGCTCCAGGCTAGAAAGCAGGATACTGTGAGTTTGAGTCCTACTTTAGCCATAAAAGAAAGCCAGTTTAGGTGACTTTGGGCTGGTCTCTCTCCCTCTCCCTCTCCCTCCCTCTCTCTCTCTCTCTCTCTCTCTCTCTCTCTTTCTCTCTCTCTTTTTCTCTCTCTCAGCCTGACCCACCTCACAGGGTTGTGGGGAAAATAGGAGGAGGAAAATGTTTTGGATTAAAGGGCTTTAACTTTATCCACCTTTTGAGACCCTCCCGGCTTTATTTACAAATCCTAAAATAGGCCTTGTTTTCAAACGCAAAAAGGAAAACTGATCAACTGATTTTAAAAAAGACGCCAGGAAATTCCCCACCATTGTTGATGAAGGCCCAGCCATTTTGACTTCTCTTTTTCTGCCGCTTTCCCCACCCCTGAGAGCCAAAAGCTGATTCATTTGGTGCGGCCACAGGAGACTTTTTTAACAAGGGAAGAGCTCATTTGCTGAAACTTTTTTTCCCTCTTTCGTTGCACGGTGCTCCGTGTGTGTGTGTGTGTGTGTGTGTGTGCGCGCGCGCACATGTTAATTCTGGAATGCTCATGTCATGTCGTAAGCCCCAAAAGCCCCTGAGCGTGTGCATTAAGTTATTAAGTGAATCATTGCAGTTGTAAAGCGAATCATGCAGTCGTTAAGTGAATCCAGATCTCCCCCGGTTGCTTTTGCATGTCAGAAACTGGCTGGGATGGTTACCTGTGGCGATCACAAGAACCCAGGACGCTTTTAGCTGTTGTAAATACATGCGGATTGCCAAGTGCCTGAATTTTAATCAACAGACTGTGGAGATGCTGCTGTGATTGTAAAAGCAATTGCTGGTCATAAGTCCCTCTTTCAGTGTCATCGTAACCATGTGCGGTTGCTAAATGAATGCTTGTAAGTCGAGGACCAGTTGTACAGAGAGTCCTCCCCTGCAGCCGTCCACTATCCAACTGTTTTGGCACGCTAGCAGTGGCCTAACACTGTGCCTTCTGAGAGTACAGATAGTCCTCGACTTACGACAGTTCATTTAGTGACTGTTCAAAGTTACAACGGCACTGAACAAAGAGACTTACAATCATCTGTCAGAGTGATGACTTTTGTAACATCCCCACGGTTATGTGATCAATATTCAGATGCTTGGTAACTGGTTCATATTTATGACCCACAATCATGTGATCATTTTCTGTGACCGTCTGACAAGCCAGATGAACGGCCAATAAAAATTTGCAAATAAATTTAATAAAAATTGGACATCAGAGGATCTTTTGCCTAAGGCCCTCATAGAACATATCTTTTGCCACAATTTCAGTATACCACACATTTTAATTTATCTTTGTCTCTCCTTTCGTCCGGGAGGACTCAGATTCACCAATAAGGTTTTCCACCCACTCCTTTGTTTACAACAGTCCTATTAGATGGGTTGGGTGGAAATCTGAGGCCAGAGAATAGAGAATAGAACTGGAAGGGACCTTGGAGGTCTTCTAGTCCAACCTTCTGCTCAAGCAGGAGACCCCATTTCAGACAAGTGGTAGTCCAGTTTCCTCTATCTTAAAACTAGAAGCTGTATCACTGGTTAATTGTTCCCACTGTTAGGAAGTTTCTAACTAGGTATGGTCTCCTGGTATAGTCAGAATACCAGAGTTGGAAGGGACCTTGGAGGTGTTCTAGTCTAACCTCCTGCTGAAGCAGGAAACCGTATATCATTTCAGACAAATGGCTGTCCAATCTCTTCTTTATGTTAGAGCATTCACAACTTCTGGAGGCAAGTTGTTCCACTGATTAATTGTTCCATCAGGAAA